AGATTTTCAATACTTCAATACTTTACAGCACCAACAGCAAAAGAGGCCAAGTAGATTGGAAAGTTAAGAAATGAAGAGCTCAACCAGCAGGGTTTAAACAAACAAAAGTAAACACTTTTCCCTCAAAGCACATAATTCAATTCAAAACTTGTTGCCACAGGTTATTGTGAAAGCCAAGATGATAAATGTTTTGAAATAGGACTGGGCATTCATGGAAGATAAATATATCAGAGTCCAAAGGAAAGGTGCAGTGGGACCACACATTGTAGGAGATCTTGTTTGAAATTACATTTCAAAATACTAATGAGGATATAACTCAGTAATTCACTTACCTTTATTTGCAAAGAAATATCTTGTCTAAGAAAAAAAATATTTGAGAGGATGAAGTCAAGGGAATATGTTATGCCACTTTCTATTCTCCAGACATATCGAGTTTTGGCTCAATCTCTTTATGTATAATTTGCAAGTAAGGACTGCCTACGAACATCCACAGAAGCCTATTCATGTCAATTACAATATTTCTTGGATGGATAATTGATACATGATGTATTATAGCTTAGAGTATTTCTATTAATTGAATACATGGCTTAAAATTAGCAAATCAGGATATTTCACCCAATTACTTCATTTCAAGTAGGTCTCTAAAACTATCAAACGCTGCTCCTTCCAGTAAGAAGTTCTCCTAATGCCATGGACTTCTGTTACCTACTCAATATGATAATTGAACTGTCTTCAGTGGTGACCTCCAGAGATCATTAACTACAGTTACATACATAGTAGCTGTGCCTTCAGTTTCACTGTGATGGACCACATCCTTTCTCAACTCCAGCTAAATCAACGCAGTTATTACCTAAGCTGTGCAAGTACAACTTGCTTTTACGTTGAGCATCACAAGTTTGAGAGTTAGCTCTGTTTACTGATGATTAATGACTAGTATTTGAACAAAGGTATACAAAAATTCTTAATAAATTGAAAGAGACTGAAAATTGCCTGCAGGACATTACCAAAGGAAGGATGTAATATATCTAGCCAGAATGTGCACTTCTAAAGCACTAAGCTCACCAATTAGAATACGGAAATGACAACAGCTACGGGCATTAAAGCTTGTGCCTTTGTTATTACAAGAGACAAATGTCTGAGCAAACTACATGTCTTGCCTTTGTACTGCTGCCTATAAACTCCGACTTTGTGCCCACCTTCCGGCTTCATGAAGTGTTTTCTTGACATTTACTATTAATAATAGAAGTTAAGAAAAATGAAAGTAGCAGTCATATTGATTCAGCAAAGCAGCATGAGCATATTTAATGGTCGATACCTTTTATCTGATTTAAATACATTCCCTTTCTTTGAAGTCTGATTTCTTTAATTACACTACATATCTAAAAAGATTTTTTATGTTATCAGATGCCAATTATGTTAGACATTGTCATTCATTTGCTTATAGTAGTATTTATTTCCACTGCCATCAACTCACACCTAAACAGCATTACTTCATATTTGTTTACCCAGCTAAAGGCATGTAACAGTCTTTTCTTGGTTTGCATAATTAATACGTATATAAAGTTTCCTTACCCTTAATCTCTAATTATGATAAACTACACCTTTCATTTTTAGGCAAGCTTCTCTCCATGCTAGAGTTGTCTAAATCTCTTCTGAGTAAGGAACATAACTTCAGAAACTGAGGGAATTAGTAGATAGAGTCCCACTGAGAGGGGGATTTTATGGGGGAAAAAGAAAAATAAATAAATAAAAGGAATAGAAAAAAAAATAGAAAAAAGGAAAAGCCACATAGAACTTTTGCAACCTTAATGAACAGAAGACAGAAAATCTGTAGAAGTGATGTAAATCTGTATCAAAATACAGATTTAAAACAAACAAACAAACAAACTGTAAAGCAGATTTCCTCTGCAGAGGATACCTTCCATTGATGCCTTCTCAAACAAACTATCCTGGCAAAAGTAAATCAGCCATAGTATCTCTCTAAGCTTGGGGATATGATTATCATTGTTTCTCTCCTACACTTTAACTTCTCTGAGCTCTGGAGTTGCCTGAAAAAAAAAAACAACAACAAAAAAAAAAACCAAAAAACTGTTTGAAATCTGTGGAGTTGGACTTCCAGAGGCTTATTCAGCACAATGGCTACTATCACTCAGGGCATTTATGACTAACTCCATATGGATTTGGTAGGTTACTTTTCCTAGACCTTACTTCCCTGACTTGCATCTTCAAAGAATCTCTTGTGAAGGGAGCTTCTCTCATCATGCAGATTCTTCCCTCTCCTCTCCTATTTCTTTGTAGACGTACCACCCCTTAATGTTAAACCTGGCATGTATTAGAAACCAAAGATTCAAGGTAAGAAGGCTCACTTATACTGTACCAAAGTCAGCTTTGACCATCAGCTGTACCAAAAGGAGCAGGTCCAAAAAATTAAGTCAACACATTAGGCACAGGGAGACATTAGGTCAGGAAACCTTGCTGCTTCCAGATATATTTACGAAGATCAAGAGAAAATATATCCTCTATTAAATGGATGAATGCATCTCAGGAAGTGTTAAAAAGTGGTTTTCCTAGCAGAGTGGGAAAGAGAATAATAATAATGAATTGGTTTAGGAGGATTATTTTTCACTGGGGTCATTCAGGAATCCAATGAACAAAAGAAAGGATAAGACTGCCTAAATTGATAAAATAATTGTGTCAGTCTCTACCGTGCTTAAAACAAACTTATAAACTCTGAAACACAGTTAGCTGTTAAGCTCTAAACACCATCACATACTCTGTCACACTACTCTCATTGTTACAGAAATCTAGGAAGCACCTGACATTTATCTTCTGTAGTTCTAACACCAGAATTGCAGAAATGCAATTAGGAAAAAGCTGGTACTCATAACAGAAAAGGTCAGCAGTGTTCAAGCTAAACCTGGTAACATACCTAATGTGCTGCCACACGTAACAGAATGCTTTCCTGATAATGAATGACTTTACTGACTGCCATGAAGTTGTTGCAAAATAATCAGATCAACAGGGGCATGCCACTACGTGAAAGACGCATAGGATATTCTGAAATAGTCTTTGATAAGGGTCCACTGCAAAGTCACCACTGATGGAAAATCTACCATTATAAAAGGCCATGTTTCCAAAAATTATCATATAAATAAATTGGGTGCAAAACACAAATGATAGAAATTTCAGTGTTTGGTAAGCAAGGAAGCCATTACTTCATCTAAGGCAGTGCACCTAGTGCATGCAGCCAACAAACAATACAGCACCATCTCTTGGATGTAAAATATATATATTTTTTGGTAGTAATCAATGTAAGTAGATGTTAGGGAGTTTAGTTTTTCTGTTTGTCTTTAATAGAGAAATACTCACACAGCAGTACAGTCTCAATGGTCCACATTCAAAGACATCCTCCTTACTTGTGTCACTACTGCTACATAAACTAATAGTGAAGTTTAAGAGAAATGAAAAGTAATCTAGAGGTTTTTTTTTTTGATAAATCACACATCAACAGCACTAAGAAATACCTCATTACTGAAAAACGAAGGTAGCATTTATTAGAAGTTTTCTGCCAAATAACAAGAGTCAGGTTAAGCCTTTAAGTGAAAAATATTTTTGAGAGCTTGCAAACACCAAAAAACATATATTTGTTATGCCTGAAGTAACTCTGAGCAGAATAAAACCTATGTACTTCCCATTTCAGTTTATAGACTATAATTTGTATTAGATTGTTTCACTTAATTTTTGCCATAGTTATAAAAAGTTGATTTTGTGTAAAAACCAGGGGAAAAAGGTACTGTGATGAATTGCAGTGCAGCTTTACCTCTTTATTCAGTTAGGTTAAAATTCAAACTATAGAATTTAATTTTCTAGGAATTATCATAGTTACATCTGTGATAAGACAAACTTTATGTTTTGAGACTGCTAGATCTTATAAAGTTTTCTTAAGGCTAAATGATAGAATTTTATTGTAGTTTCTCCTATACATGAGTTATATCAAATTATTTCTTGTTTAAATAAAAGCCTGGTATTCTTTTAGTGTGACACATACTGTTCACTAATTAATCAAGGAAAATAAATCAATTGAAATTTAATGTGAACCTTCCTATTATCAATTTCATTTGAAGAAGTATCTTGAATTTAGGACAGAACATGTTCTCAAAAGAGGATTGATTATAAAATTAAGCCAGATGCTATGATCAGCTAACTTGTATAAGCTGAATTTCATCAGTAGCAAGCTATAAATTATGTGAAGAGAAGTATCTGACAATCTGTCTTTGGTGGTCTATACAAAAAAAAAGTCAAAAGGCTTCTGTCTGGTACTTCCAAATTTCCCTTCATATAGCCTTTTATAAACACTTTTAGCTGAACAATATGTGCCCGAGGCAAGTATTTATAAAACACTACCTAACATAACACAGAATCACAGAATTGTAGGGGTTGGAAGGGACCTCGAAAGATCATCAGGTCCAACCCCCCTGCCAAAGTAGGTTCCTTAGGGCAGGCTGTCTAGGTAGACCTTGAATATCTCCGGAGAAGGAGACTCCATAACCTCCCTGGGCAGCCTGTTCCAGGGCTCCATCACCCTCACTGTGAAGAAGTTCTTTCACATGTTGGTGTGGAACTTCCTGTGCTCAATTACCCCGTGTCCATTACCCCGGGCCATTACCCCGTGTCCTGTCCCCACAAACCACTGAAAAGAGGTTGGCTAAATCCCTCTGTCTCCCACAAATTATAACAAAATATTTTTACAGATGTTTACTTAGTAAAAAGTTCACAACCTTAGTGAACATATTTTGCTTAACCTGTATAAAGAGAGGCATGCCAAAAGAAGGAAGTAAACATACTAACAACAACTAGAGAATAGCATCAATAAAAGTGCTCTTATACTTCTACCTTTTTCCTGATGCTCTTTCCTTAATGATCGTAAGCAACCAATTCTATTTTCCTGAAATGCTACATATGTGTAACATGCACCAAAGAACTAAAGGGAATACACTCACCATGTACTATCAGGACATATTCTGTGCTGTTTCGGCCAATGGGGTTTTTTGCTTCACATCGGTATGTGCCATTGTCTGTTTTGTTTAGGAAACTGATGCTTAGGACCCTGCCGTTGACAACCATTCTCTCGGGATCTGGTAGTTCTCCACCGTCCTTTGTCCACAATACTGGTTCTGGCCTGTTGGATCCAAAGCAATACATTTAATCAGATATATGTAGTATGCATGTGAAATATTATGTATCAGCAACAGTAACTTGTGGATAATACTCTGTTATCACAGAATACTTAGTAATCATTTGAATTACTGGATATAACAAGCATCCATTGCAACTTTACAATCTAGTACCAGACATGAATTACTAAAGTGCAGGAACAGGCAGGAAAAAGAAGAGGAACAAATAAGAAAACAGAATGGTATTGGAAAAGGCCAAGGTCTTCCCTAAATAAATACATAAACAAAAGTGCTAATGATATTTCAGGGTACACAGTTTGGCAAGACATTTGGCAAGCCGTGTGAAAATAGCTCTCTGTGTGATGAGCAGCACGGTCTTGTGCACCTGACAGGCAACAGAAATCATGCGAGCAGGCTGAGGTAGATGTAAGTGGTTTGTAAATGGATTCTTAAATTATTTAGGCTATTCACATTCACAAGTGTACTTGCATGTACTGAGTGCTTTTCCTGAACCAGGCATGTCAGTTGCAAAGTAATGCATCTTACACACAATCCAAATTTATTTCTGTTGCTGCACTGTGTCACAGCTCATCCCCTTTTCCACCCTTTCTGCATGCTTCCCTTGAATAATTGTTTATTTTACACACATTATCACAAGCAATATAAGATTTGACTTAAAATCCTGGACTTCCTTTCAGTGAAACCTTTCCTCTTTTACCTGGTGACCTCACGTCACACCAAAGGCAAAGCACTGACAGCGATAACCTGTTAGCCAAGTTAAGGACACAGTAGAGAAGGGAAATGACTGTTTTATAGCTTCCCATACATCTTTCCACTGGCAACTGGTATTTAACTCTTTCCCAAAAATTCTCAAGAAGCTCTCCAGTTCAAAAGATTTGCCTAAGACAGCAGCAAGTATGTATTTCTTGTACACAGTCTTTGCCTGTATATAAAAAATTGCACTTTCAAATTCACGTGAGGGAAACCACCAAAAGGATAAGTCCATGATTAGAAATGAAAAGATGGCTTACTGAATCCTATCTCACAAACAGATGTAGCATCCCAGGTCTTTAGATACTAGTCACTAAAGCAAGATATATACAGCCTGCAGATTCAGTTATGCTTCTTCTGTCTGGTAGCTTTGTACATTACAACCCAAATATCGATTCCTTTCTTTTGGCTGCACTACTTAAGTAATTTCAGTCAGTAGCAGTTCTAGATTTACAATTTATTTGGTAGCAGAATGTTACTATTTTTTTTTTCTTATCAAAGTATGCACTTTTATGACTAAATAATAAAATGAATACGAAGGACTTTTATAAAAATCATCAAATGCCTACTTAGTTTCTAGTCTTACTGAAGAACTAGTTAATTTGATTAATTTAAGGTGTCTACAACCTATTAAACATGAGCATTAAGAATAAGAATTAAGTCTAAATACCCAAACAGAGACATTTTGCTAAAATGCAGCCTTACACACAGAATAGGCCTAATACCTGCAACAACATTTTTATTGTATTTTATTTTTTAATTATACAACATATAGAGAAAGCAAAGTTTTCTAAAATGCACTCACTGCTATATGTCTTCTATTACTATTTTTCTTTGGTAAAAAGGTCAGACATTATTTTTCTCTTGAGAAGCACCAGAGTTCTATATAGATTTCAGTAACATTTGGATGATAACTTGTTAAATTATTATTGTGCTTGTTACTGTTGGCTGTTCTCTGACACTGGCTTTAATAACTTAAAAATAAATAATAAATCATACAGAATCATAGAATCATTTAAGTTGGAAAAGATCCTTAAAATCATCAAGCCCAACCATTGCCTAATGTTTCCAAGTCCATCACTAAACCATGTCCTTCAGCACCACATCCACTTCTCTTAAGCACCTCCAGAGATGGGAACTCTACCACTTCTCTGGGCAGCCTATTCAAATGCTTCACAACCCTCTCCATAAAGAGATTCCTCCTGATACCTAATCTAAACCTCCCTTGGCACAAGTTGAGGCCATTGCCTCACGTCCTATGAGAAAAAAGACTGACACCCTCCTTACTGCAACTGCCTTTCAGGTAGTAACAGAAAGTGGTAAGGTCTCCACTCAGCCTCCTTTTCTCCACTAAATGACCCTAGTTCTCTCAGATGCTCCTTATGCGTCTTGTTTTCTATTCCCTTCATCAGCTTCCTTGCTCTTCTCCGAATGCATTCCAGCAGCTCGACATCCTTCTTGTAGTAAGGGGCTCAAAACTGAACACCATACTTGAGGTACAGCCTCACCAGTGCCCAGTACAAGAGGACAATCTCTTCCCTAGTCAGGGAATATTATAACATTCACATAATTTTAAATCATGGATTAAGAACTATTGGTGTAATGGGCCTTATTTATATTTAACTGTAAATATGTCACAGTATTCTTCCTAAGTGTGCTTTCAAGCACTGATATCTAAATAGACATGTACACACAATACACATACCTCCTTTCTGCTTAACACTAGCAGGAAATCTAGATGTCCACATTGTTGCAGAAAAATTGTCCCACACAATTCACATTAAGGTGTGATTTGCTTTGATTTGTTAAAGAGGATGTGTTCAATTTTCTAGCAAACTCCTCATCGTTCCCCGTTTACCACTTTACCGTGAATCCGTAATCCCAGGAGTGGAAACTCTGAAACACTTCTGCTACAATATAAACCATTACCTTCATAAATGGCACGTTAAAGCAACTTCTGTGCAGTGGTAATTTATGAAACGTACATTTTAAATTGAACTTAGATGGCATATCCTAGAGAAAAACCCATAGGATAACAAATAACTAGGAAATGGAGCCTTAGATCTAAATTATTCAAGGAGCTTTGTCACATCTTGGTATACCAACGGCAGTCCTACGCAGCACAGTTAGAGAGGCAGGTCTACATCCTCTAGGTGACAAGGTGGCAGCACAGAAACCATCCCTTAATTAGCAGATCCGCCCTGCATGGGCTCAGCAGCAGCAGCAGAGCCATCCCTGGGCAGCTGGCCTGTGGTCAGCACATCGTGGTGGCTAGGCACAGCCCTTGTTCCACCTCACCAGTCTCGGGAGAATGCTGCCTAAAGCAGCAACTGTCACAGCTGCAGAAATATAAATCTTGCTTTCACTGCTGAAAAGCTTTGAGACACTCTGGTCTAAACAATTTATTAGTCAGGCAGAAGTGAGTTAAGAACATGAGACATGCTCAAACACCCAGGCCAGCACGCTGCTGCTGACAGCAACAACTGGAGTGGCTGCTCAGGGAAAGCACACGAGCATGGCCACTGCCCGTAGTCCATCCCCCTGTGTTCCGCCACCAGCCATAATCATCCCATGTGGATGCTGGAGGGCATGTCGCTTGTTCTCTTTAGTGTCTATGCAGTATTTGGATCTGTTGCCCATAAATTTCTCAAATTTTTTTGAATCTGCTTACACTGCCAACCCAGACTTCTGTGGCAATGAATTCAAAAAAGTTCCCTACCTGCTGTGTAAACGCTTACTTTTTTGTACTTTTATCTGTCTTGTACTGATCTCTGAGCCGTTGCAACGAATTATGGTAACAGAGTTTGGTAACAGTCCTGCATATTATAACCTCGCTATTAATTATGACAGACCTGTATTTAGTAGAATTTTCTTCTACTATCTCCCCCTTCTTTTCTCTACCTGTTTGAACTTGATACAGTCTGAGATTACTGGCAGGAAAAAACAACAGCACCCCTATATAAGAAAACAGACAGTCTACATTTAGAAAACATTGGTCACTCCTTGATAAGAGCTTTAGCAAATTAATTGTCAAAAGCCCAAATGCAGTTGGAAGATCAGTGAAGAAACTCCTCTTCTGCGTCACAAGACACACTGAACTGTAAATTTTCTATAAGCTATTTTATTGAAGAGTGTTCATGGATATATATACAGAGCTTCATTATTCACCCAACATTTCAAAAGTGTTTCAGCTCAGCTGGGGGATATTTAGGTTGGATATCCTAAAATATCAGGCAAACGTGTATACTTCTATTAACACATATTTCTCTCTATTGCCTAGGTCTCTAATATTGAAGAACTTTACCTTTCGTTCACATATTAACAAATTGCCGTGAGGCTATTACTAGGACTGGAACCAACAGGGTATCTTTGTGCCTTGCATTTGTGATTACTTCATGTTGAATCACACTTACCAGTTGACCCCACACTTTCTCAGGCAACCCCGAAAAAAGTATTTCTTGGAGCACAATAGCTATAAAATTGGAATGAGCGCAGTGGCAACTAATACAGTTGTATTCTACCTTTGCACATTTCACAACACAAACAAGCTCACCAACCTGCTCTGTCCTAACAGAAACATGCAGCCTGCTGATAATGAGGCAGTCACCCAAGGACCAAATTTGGGGCAACAGATGTTGTCTATATCCTGGCTTAATCCCTCCCAGGTGGATGTGGGTATGTGGAAATGAGCTGTGCTACCACTGAGCCCCTTCATTGGGCTGGGGGAGGCAGCAGAGCTGAAGTACCAAGATGTTGTTTTCTTCTCCAAAACACAGCTCTGCCTCTGGCCTCACCTATTCTAATTTACTCTCAGCGTGACACCTTTTAAAACAAAAACAAACAAATTAGGTATGCTGCATTGAAGATATTCTTTCAAAGACAGCTTAGATGTGACAGACAGATCATGCTAGTTTTGTGGCTAGCATGTACAGCTTTTACTAATTTAGTTTTGTGTGCTGATGCCCACAGTAACACCATCGGGATTGCAGTATACTAAAAGAAGCTAGAGATACTAATCATGATTATGGCCAATGACTCTTCTGCCAAGCCCCTAAAATAAGCTTAAATTCTATACCTTCCCTGAAAAACTGCTAATCAGACTTAGACTTTGGTATTATTTATACTTAATCCTAATATGCCCAGAAGCTTTCAGAAACCAACTTGCATAAGTGAACTGTTTTTTGGTATTAATAAATAAATTTGTCAACTGTCTTTATGTTAGCCTTCAAATGTG